TTCATTTGTGTGATATTTTCACCCCAAATGTTTCTTAATCTTTACATGTCTGAAGAAAGTAAGACTGAAATTAACAGTAATGGGCTGATGTCTTAGTCAAAATATTACTTCTGTTGGGTGGTTATTACTGTTGACTCCTTTAGGTCTACAGTGAAAAGGAAAAAAGTAGGAAGGAATGAAAAGTCTCTTTTTTTAATAAAAAAGATCATTAGATAGTTTCAGATGTCAGTCCAGTGAGGGAAAAAAGACAGAAATTTTCAAGGTTTTTAACATCATTAAAGAAAAGTTCCTGCTCTACCTTTAAAGCCTAGGTAGGTAGTCCAAGTGTAAGACTCTACTCATCTAATCCTTTGACTTATGGAAGGAGTACACAAAGTAACTCCTTGTCTCAGGAGCAATGTTATAGATAAACTAGCAAATTGAATCTAAGTTTGGTACTGTCCACCAATTCATGCAGAACCACCCTTCTTCCAGTGGGTACAGGCAGGGACAACTCCTCTCCTTGTGTGTACTGGTCCAAGGTTCTCTTCATGTGGGTGCAAGCAGGTTCAATACTCTGACAGATCTCACAGTGGGTACAGGATGGTCAGAGGCACTGCCTCTCCTGGTGGGTGGGAGCTGGATTAGGAAAGTGTCACCAGCATACTCGAGGTTGCTATGTGAGCTGGAGGTGAGTTGACTTGTCTGCAGTCCTCAGGCTAGGTAATCCCAGAGTGGGCAAATGGAAGGAAGTTGGGCCCAAGGTAGGGGTCCAGAGCTCGCCTCTGCCATGAGTGGGGACAGCAGTATACCTCTGTTCTCAGCAGGCTCCTGGTTGCTTGGTCTGCCAGGGGCCAGTCGACCTCACTACAATCCCTAGGCCAGGAAGTCCAGGCAAGAAGAAGTGGGGAAATTTTCTTCTATGATTTTTTGAATATGTTTTCTGCTCCTTTGAGCTGGGCTTCTTTGCCTTCTTCTATACCTATTATTCTTAGGTTTGGTCTTTTCATGGTGTCCTATATTACCTGGAAATTTTGACTTGAGGATTTGTTGGATTTAAGATTTTCTTTCCTCATTCAGTCTATTTCCTCTAGTTTATCTTCAGCAACTGAGATTCTGTCTTTGATGTCTTTCATTCTGTTGGTAATGCTTGTATCTGTAGTTCCTTAGCATTGACCCAGCATCTCTATTTCCAACATTCCCTCAATTTTTGGTTTCTCCATTGTCTCTATTTCAGTTTTATGGTGTTGTACTGTTTGAATTGTTTCCGTCATATCTTTGATTGTTTCTTCTTGGCTTTCCTTGGATTCTATAAGAGATTTGTTGTTTTCTTTCTTTTTTGGTTCATTTTTCCTTCCATTTCTTTAGCGGAATTTCTCCTCTTCTATTTGAGAGCCTCTATGATATTCATGAAGTTGGTTTTAAGGTTATTCTGTCTTGTTTCATCTGTGTTGGGATGCTCAGGTTTGCTGGTATAAATTCCCTCTACCCTGTTGGTGCCATATAAGTTTTTTTGTTTGATGTGTTCTTATACTGTCACTTTCCCTTTACTTCTTCAAGTGGGTTTAGGTGGGGTCTCTCCCTCTGCTAGGGGTTCTGCATTTAAGGTTCTATCCTCTCCTCTCTCTGAGATGTTACATGGCAAGACAGGAATCACAGGCAATTTTGGATTTTTAGTTCTGATCCAGGTCTCTCTCTCTCTCTCTCTCTCTGTCTCTGTCTCTGTCTCTCTCTCTCTCTCTCTCTCTCTCTCTCTCTCTCTCTCTCTCTCTCCCTCCCTCCCTCATTACTGGAGGCTAGAGAGGCAAGACAGGAATGTCAGCCAATGCTTGGTTCTGCCTCCAGGTCCCTCTGCCAGAACCACCTATTTTTTTTTTTGGTTTTTTTTATTTGGTTTTTTGAGACAGGGTTTCTCTGTATTGTTTAGCAGCCTGTCTTGGAACTCGCTTGGTAGACCAGGCTTGGTCTCAAACTCACAGAGATCTGCCTGCCTCTGCCTCTGGAGTGCTGGGATTAAAGGTGTGCACCACCACCATCCGGCTGAACCATCTATGTTTTACAGATTATGGAAACATAAAGATGCAAACTTTGAAGACTATGGATTCTTCCTCTGTGGTCAGTTCTTCACTTTCCACACATCTATGTTTAGAACAGTTAGAGCCCCAGTGAAAAGACTGTGAGAGTTCATTGGATAAAGCAGTGAAGATGAAGCTGGGTTGCACATTTGCCATGGAGATCTTCACATGAGGATTGGAAAGTGCAAATATGTGAGCTAGATGAGATTTTGCTGGGTGTTGTGTGACATTTTGATCGTATTTTGATAATAAAACTTATTTGGCATCACAGAGCAGAGGTAGCCATTAACTGACCAAAAAAGACCACAAAGTTTTGTAGGGTTGAGGATATTTGGAGACAGGAAGTAGGAAATAGAGAGAGGTTCTTACTGTTTTTTATTTTATTTTTTTTCAAGACAGGGTTTCTCTGTATTGTTTTGGAAGCTGTCCTGAAACTCACTCTGTAGACCAGACTGGCCTTGAACTCACAGAGTTCCACCTGCCTCTGCCTCCTGAGTGCTAGGATTAAAGTCGTTCACCACCAATGCCCAGCTATCTTGCTCTTTTTTAGATGGAGGAATGGAAGAGGTCACTTTCACTGGTGACTGCTCAACTGGTTCTGATCTTTACCCCACATCTGATTTCTGAGTTTTTCTTGATAAAGATTGTTTATATTTAAAGATTGCTTTTGAGGCTCCTTAAAGGATTTGTTTAATAAACAGAAAGGGGTAATTAAGAGTTCTAGAGATAGATTAAATAATACATTATTAACTACATTTTTTAATTCTACTGAAAAGGAAACAACAGCACTGGGAGGTAATACATAAAAATAAACTGCTAAATTAAAGCAACCTGTATACTTTATAGATTGCTTAAGTTCAGAATAAAAACCAAGATATGTGTCAAATAGAGAAGATGTTTTCCTTTTGTTTCCACATGTGGGAGGATATAAACATGAAAATTGATAAAGATTATATTCAAGCAAAAAATATTTCTTCATTAAAACAGACAATCATTCATCAAACAGCATTACCATTCAATCTAAACTAATTCATCAGACTAACAAATTTCTTTTAATTGGATTAAATACAACTTGCCAAAAATAAAACTCCACAAAAGTAGTGTTGAGGGAAGGTTTCATTTTGTATTTCCAAAACATAAGAACCTCCAACAAAGGAATCTGAAGACCATTTGTGTCATGGGGTGCTAGGATTCTGTCTGCTTGTCATGAGTGAGTGAGAGATTTCACTGGGTTCTGCTTTCCAGGAACAGTCTTGGGTTTAGTGTGTTACTAACTATGCTATTTTCACATATCTAAAAGACGTTTATTTACCATGCTCATTACACTTAGACTTTTAGTTCACATGTATGTTTGATGATTAATACCAAAATATATACCAGAATGCTTTGGAATTAGTGTTTGTATGGCTTATCTTTAGGTGCCTGGAAAATGGGAAAAATAAAAAGTTTAACATGTGCAAGTTATTGGAAACAAAGTTGTAAAAACAGGCATCTCAAAAATATACGTGATATTAAAGAGGTTCCTCAGTAGCCTCCCTGCCCAATTTGAGGACAAGGAACAACTGTTTCATTATTCCCACACTGGGTTAAATGGAAGATGAATACTTCATGTAATTTATCATGGGGCCTTAGGTGTGCCCCACCAAAAGGTTCATGGTCTAATAAATTTTGGTGTGAAAACAAACATATTTTCAGTGTTTCTCAGTAGGAAGGGTTCATTGTTTACTCACACAGAATGACACATCGTACTTCCTGGTGAACCTTAATACATAATACATGTGGTAGTCTGAATGTAATGGGCCCCTATAAGCTCGTAGGGAATGACACTCTTAGGATATGTTTCTTTGTTTCTGTAGGCATGGGTGTCACTGTTGGGGTATATATTGAGATCTTATATATGCTCAAATCATGAACAGCATCCCAGACAACTTCCCATTGCAGTGGGGCAAGATGTACAATGCCCAACTCCTTTGAGAGAAGCGTGTCTGTCTGCATTCTACCATATTGCACCAAGATGATACTTGATAAAATCTCTGAAAATGTAAATTACTGAAATAAAATAGTTTTCCTTTAAAAGATTAGCCATGTACATGCTGTCTCTTCACAGCTATAGAAACCCTAACTAATCAGTACATGATTGATTAACTTTAGAGAGGAATTATGAGAAACACTGCCAAATTTACTTCAGAGATGATCGCATACTTGCTCTTTGTGTGTTATTAATAGAAATACCAGTATTCAATTATAGTCATTCTTTATTTCTTGTAGCAAACAATAACAGCTATTTAACTCAATGTGTTTATAGCACAACAAATAATACTATGATCATGTATCAACAACTGCCTTTTGTTATTTATTTTTATTTATTTATTTTTATCCAGGTAAAATTCAAAATAGAGTGGTATTAGGGAGATTTCAACAGCATACTTGGAAGACTTATAACTATTTACAAAAATACACTCTTAAAAATTCACTGGGTTACTGGTAGCTATAAAATTACTTTAACAAGCATTATTTATGCTTCCAGAGTTGGAGACATAGCATTAAAACAAAACATGCAAATACCTCAATTTAGAGGTAAACTAGCTAACATGTATCTAAATTAGAAAATTTTTCAAGAAAGTACTGATACTGCTTTTCCTCCATGGAGGAAACATACTCCTTGATAGGGTTATAACTTACTATTTTGAATCAAATGAATATTTTACTCAAAAATCCCTGTTTGCTGTTCAAAATGAAAAATCACCAGAAAATCAATTCCTGGACATCTATAAGGCCTCCTAGTGAAGCACATTTCATAGGGATTTTTGTAATAAATGAATGAGTATTACTCTGCATCTGTAGTGATTCCTTACTGCTCTCTATTACATCAGCCCTGCAACCATACACATGAAACCAACAATCAACACACTAAAGAAGTTGTCTGCATATGTCAGTATACTCATCCATACATACTTTATGAGGAAAAAGTTGTAACAAAGTATTTGAGAAGGCATGGAATAAAGAGAAAGTAGAAACTGGTCCAAAAGTTATAGATCATAGATTCTTCCCTTGTGGTTTCAGTTCAACACTGTAGGAATCTGGCAGAGTTAGAAGACCAGTGAATACACTGTGAGAGTTCATTGACTGAAGTTCTCAAGGTGAAGCCAGTGTTGTATTTTGAGATGATAGGATGTTGAGATACAAAAACAATTGGTCATCTGCCATGGAAAGCTGAACACAAGGAGAGGAAATAGCAAAGGAGAGACATGTCTGACAATTTTTAGGGATAGAGGTATCTAAGGCTTTTGAGAATGATACCCTACCTGTGCACAGCAGAGCTGTAGGATTTGCTGTTTGCCCTGATGAGTTTTCGTGCCTTGGTTCAATCTTCTCCCACTGTGCCCATATTCTTGTCTTTATTTTTTAAAATTTTTCTTCTCTCATAAAATACATCCTTTCTGCAGTTTCCCCTCCATCCTCTCATCTTGGTTCTCTCCATTGCTCCCCTCTCCACCTGGTCCTCTCCACCTCCATTTTCCTTCAGAGTAGATAATGTATTCAAAGGATATCAACATAAGTCTGCATAATGAATTCCAATTTGGAAAGAATCAAAACCTCCTATCAAGGCTGGATGCAAACTAGTAGGAGGAAAGGAATTCTAAGAGCAGGTGAGAGAGTGGGAGACACACACCCACTTCCACTGTTGGAAGTTGCACAAAAAACACCATGGTATACAACAGTATTAGACTACATGTGTTACTTGGTTTTCTTGTCCTGCCAGGTACTGCCATCCTTCTCAGCCCCAAACAAGCACATGTATAACATATTAATTATTAAACTGTTTGCTGTTGGTTAGGGTTTGTTATTGGCTAGCTCTGTCTTAGGAACTAACACATTTTTATACATCTATGCATTTATATGTAGCCTTGGCATACCGGAGAATGTCCAGACATGTTGGTCCCTTATCAGCCACATCACATCTGTCTCTGGTGGGCTCTGTCTGCCTACTGTTCCCAGAATTCTGCTCATCTCCTGGTACCACCTATCTTCCTGACACATTGGCCAAACAGTGTTTTATACATCAACCAATACTGGAAACATATATAAAGAAGGCCATCCCCATCAGACCTGGTGCAGTCCCCATGAGCCTCTATGATTCTGTTGACTGTGTACTTACACATCATTTTATAATTTAGGAAAATTTTGACTATAAATTTATCAAAAGTGTTTTGTGAGACTTTGACCTGACTTTATTCTCCTCCTGGTCCTATCATTCTTACTTTTGATGCTTTCATCTGTTGCAGATATCCTGGATGTCACATTTCAGGAAATTTATAGATTTAACATGTTTTTTATGTAAATATCCATTTCATAAAGTGGACCTTCAAAGCCTGAAATTCTCTATTACATGTCTTGTATTCTTTTGGTGAGTCAGGCTTGCCTCTGTAGGTCCTGTTTGATTACCTAGATTTTCATTTCCAGATTTCTTCAGTTGTGATTATTTTTAATTGCTTCTATTTCCATCTTCAGGTCTTGAACAGATTCTTTCCTTTTGATTAGCTGTTTATTTGTTTGATTTTTTGACTTTCATTAAAGGATTTATAAATTTTCTTCATCATTTAGGTTATACATTCTTTGCATTCTTTAAGGGATTAATTCCCTTCAACTTTTTCTATTATCTTTATAAACATGGTCATAATTGTGCTTCTATCGTGTTGGAATATTTATAACTTGTTTCAGTAGGATAATTGAAATCTGGTAGTCACTTACTGCTCTGGTGGTTGCTGGTTGTGTCCAATTATCTTGTTTTGAGTTTATTGTGGGTCTAGGTGCTGATTTTTCAGTTTTTCATTATTGAAAGGATCATGTTTTTCTTGAATTTATTAGCTCTCTGATCTTCTGATCTGTGTGGCCTATGGTTGAACAGGGGTTCTCAGGCCAATATGGAGGGTGGCTGTCTTTATGTAGGTGTTGCATTTGTTCTTGCAGGGAGTGCCTGCCAGAATTTCAGGCTGTCAAAAGGGAAGAGCAGAGAGAACTTGGGGATAGTGTTGATGGCACATGGAGAGAGTGGGACAGTTCTGTGTTGACATGGCCCACATGGGCTTCTGGCCAATGTTGTATCCTTTATGTGAGCCTAGGGTTTCCACTAAAATTGGAGGCTACAACACAGACATGAGTAGGGAAATGTATTGTGAATAGTGCTTGGTGGTTATTGAAAGAATGGAGGAGGTCCACAGGAGAGGCCAATGTGGATTTCCGATAGCTAGCTTGAACTCTGGTCCAACAGGGTGTCTCTGCCTCAGTTTGCCTACCTGTTATTCTGACTTGTGTGACCTGCACTGGAGCAGAGGCTGTTAAACCAATTTGTTAGTGGGAACATGGTTTTGGGGGTGGCAGCTAATGGGTTGTTGGGGGAGTGTCTGGGAATATAGGTAGTGTGGAAGTTTTCATGAGATGGGGACCTGCCTTACCTGTTATTCTAGCTGGGCATATGAGTAAGGGATGTCTCCCTGAGTTGGGGGCTGGAATGCAGCCATATTCCTCTTATTCTGAATGGGAATATATCCTGTGCTCATCTGGTTTGCTGGAAATCCTTTATTTGTTTCTTGATTATACAAAATGTGACAGTCAAGAGATTGTCTTGAGTGTCAGAAGAGAATTTGGAAATTAGTACCTTTGGGGATGTTAGAAGTTATGAGGATCAGTGAACTTGGAGTAAATACATAGTGTCACCTACTTCCAACCCTTCCAGACCTCTTTCCAATCTCTGTTCACCCAAATCCACTTTTACTATGTTTCCCTTCATAAAGGAACAGGACTCCCATGGATATCATCCAGTCACATCACAACAACATGCAGTAAGATGAGGTAAAATCCCTATGCAAGGCTGACCAAGGTAACTCAATATAATGAAATTGTCCCATGGGCTGTGTCTGCTCTGAGCATCCAGAGCAGGGAACTGTATGTAGAAATGTCTTTGTAGTCAACTTCAGCTTGCTTTTGGTGCACCCGTGGAAAGCAGTTCTCCAAATCTCAAGAGTACTAGTTTCTTCAATAATGTCTAGAGGTCCAGCAGTTTTCATTTCACTTTTACATTTAAGATCCATTTATTGTTAATTTTGAGGAGGTTGTAAAAGGCATCTCATATGTAGAAGAATAAAATAGGTAATACAAAGGATTTACAAATGCTCAGGAGAGAGTGAGTCTCACAAAGAGAAATTTAGTTGAGGTTGTGCTGCCTTTAAAACACCCAAATATAAGTATATACTAACAAGTCCTGTAAGAAATTAGGATGATCGGGCCGGGCGGTGGTGGCACACACCTTTAATCCCAGCACTCAGGAGGCAGAGGCAGGTGGATTTCTGTGAGTTTGAGGCCAGGCTGGACCAACAGTCTCCAAACCAATACAGAGAAACCCTGTCGTGTAAAACCAAAAAAAAAAAAAAAAAGAAAAGAAAAGAAAAGAAATTAGGATGATTGGATACACATTTGTTCACCAGGATTGTCTAGACAGTTACCTCCAAGCTATTACAAATGAGCCACACCTGATTTACAACCACCCATGAGGCCCATCTCGATATCAAAGAACAGGCCTGGAACAAGGCATCACCCCTAGTCTCATGCAAAATACTATGCTAACCTGAAACACCTCTACAGCTCAGAAAATCCCTTTGTGCCTGGGAACTGAATTTTACTGAGTCACACCATGTGCCTGTCAGCAGCAGAAAGTTAAAAACTCCTTCTAATCCTGAATTTTTGGGAGGCAGGGCCCATCCCTTCCTTTCTACTAGTTTCCAAGACAAGCCAGACAGTGGAATGTTGTAACGTGCAGTCTTCCTGCCAGCCACTTTGACCCTGCCACCGATCTATCTGAGCCCCCAAATAACACGCAGGATGCTATATTAATTATGAAGCTGTTGGCGTTTGCTTGGTTTCTCACTGGCTAGCTCTGACTTAAGCATTTAACCCATCATTGCTGATCTGAGTATTTCCAAGTCTCTTACCAGAATAAGGGTCCAGGCCTGTTACTTCTCCTGCATCCTAAATGGTGACTCCCTGTGCTTCTCTTTCCCAGAATCCTCGTCGACTCCTAGACCCACCTATCTTGCTTCCCTATTGGCAAAGAGTGCTTTATTCAATTAACTGACAGACAACATACACACAGGATATCCCCCATCAGAAGGTAATATCCAGACGTTCTATAAACCAGATCTTCAGCCTGGTGTTGGTGACACACACCTTTAATATCAGCACTTGGGAGGCAGAAACAGGAGGATCTCTGTGAGTTCATGGCCAGCCTGGTCTACAGAGTGAGTTCCAGGACAGACTCCAAAACAATACAGAGAAACCCTGTCTCAAATAAATTTGTTTTTCCATCAGGAGGTTGTGGCACACACAACAACTCAGGAGGCAATGGGAGGCAGATCCCTGTGAGTTTGAGGCCAGCCTAATCTACAGAGTGAGTTCCAGGACAGCCTCCAAAGGTACACAGAGAAACCGTCTCGAAAAACAAAACAGAACAAAAAAAAAAAAAAGAAACCAGATCCTCAGTTTCATAATCTGTCTTCTCACTGCACAACAACAGCAACCCCTGTGTATTCACATGGACAATGACACCATCAGCTCAGAGTCTCCCATGCCAGGATTGCAGAGCCTCCCCCAGTCAGGGAATCCACACTCAACAAAACACAGAGGCCAAGGGCCACTGCCCAGGTCCACACAGGGACCAACAGAGCTTCAATCTGGCTCATGGTCTATCCCATTCCAGGCAGTCAGATTCTTCTTTTGTTGTTTGTTTGTTTGTTTGGTTGGTTTTTTGAGACAGGGTTTCTTTGTATTGTTTTGGAGGCTGTCCCGGCACTCACTCTGTAGACCAGGCTGGCATCGAACTCACAGAGATCCACCTGCCTCTGCCTCCTGAGTGCTGGGATTAAAGGCATGCACGACCAACGCCTGGCTTGCAGTCCAGATTCTGACAGCTCAGCCAACCTGCTCTTCCTGGTCTGGGGATAGTGGCCCCCACACTCACCATGTCATGGCTTCTGTTCTTGCTCACAGCTCCTCACAGCAGAGCAAGAGGAGAATCCTGGAAAGAACCCGTGAGCCACCTCTCACTGGTGCTACTGACGGCTCGGCCTTCCCAAAGATCCTCATTAGTTAAGATGACCCTGCTGGGATTCAGAACATCAGCTGTCACCCTAATGGGTGAACAGGTATCCAGTGAATCA